ACACACACACACACACCGAGACCCCCTGAAAGCCTCAACATCAACATGTTGGTGACCGTTTAAAATCATACAAAAGAAATCACTAAATGTCTTTAAAAGCGTACTAATGTCCAGAAGAACATTTAAATGTGACCAGTGAGAAGACTTTCAGCCGTAAACGACACAAACAGGTTGAGTGAAGAGAGTCTGTCTTCACGTGTTTGTGGACCGCATCGAACCCTTTTCCATGAGAACCGGGATCAAAGCAGGACGACGTCTCTCCTCTTGTTGGACTCCGAGGTGTGTGTGTGCGTGTGTGTGTGTGTGTGTGTGTGTCGGGTTAAAGAGAGAGGTGGTGTTGTGTATCATTGTTGATAACATTAGCCTTTGTGAAGTGTGCACGAGGTGTGTACAGTAAATCACCGTGTATCAATTGTATTCGTTGCGTTATAAGTCCGTCAGACTTCAACCACTGACTGTAAACCTTTTACAGCTTTCAGGGGTCTTGAATTTAAACTGTTTTGTGCTGTTTATACAACTCGTCTCTCACTGGGACAGATTCCTCATGATGTTAACCACATGAGTGTGACTGTGTGTAACATGTGATCACATGTGTGTAACATGTGTGTGACATATGTGTAACATGTAATATGTGTGTAACATGTGTGTAACATGTGTGTAACATGTGTGTAACATGTAACATGTGTGTAACATGTGAAGTTTATATCTTGACACGTTATAGAATCCTCAATGTGTCGTCCAATCAGGAGAGCAGGAGTCTTACAAACATTCGACCATTTTGTAAAAAGAAGAAAATCAAGTTTAATGAAATCTTAAAAATGAAACACCAAAAAAGTTTGACATTTTCTGATACCTTGTAATTTGCAAGTTTCTTCATCATTTCAAGGGTTGATTCTAAAATGAAATGTGATTCATAATCATAATCTACCCAGCAGGACTCCCCGTGTCTTTCAGATAGGAAACGTCATCGTAGATGACCTCATCGCCCCGTCTCTTTCGGCACTGACTCACAGTCTTCAGCACAGTTTTCAGGCGGCGGTCGAGGGCGGCGAGGTGAGGCTCCGACAGCAGCGGGGCCACCGTGTGAAGGGGGTCCCGGGACAGCGAGGCCCTCATGACGTCACTGAGACGATACCGGGACAGAGTGAGGAGTTGTAGGCGGAGCCAGGTGGAGCGACGGATCCTAGAGGAAGGAAGGAGAGGATGGAGCGATTAAGTAAGGAAGAGATATCAACCTGAACAAGGACACCTCTTAAAGGGACAGTGTGTAACATTTAGTGCAGAGGTCACTCATAGACTTATGGCCGATACATAACTGAGAATTATTAAAGTTTGACAGAGCGCTTCTATTTTAACCGGCGCATCTTTTCTAGCCTTTACGGTACTCGTTCAGCAGTCCAGGAAACACACCGACCAATCACATGTGTTGTAAATCGTATCACGTGATGCTAAATACTTGTACTGATGAGACTGGCCACCACCGCCATGTTTACACAAGATGGAGGGATAGAGGGATATAGGACAGGAGAACAAAGGGGGGGCACTAGAAGCCACTAAAACTGAAACACTGTCCCTTTAAAAGATTTCACATTTGATCACATTGATGTTTGACCTGCAGCACTGCTCTAGAGGAGCCAGGATGGAGGGCTCGTCTTTGGAGTGACGCCCGAATCTGCAATAAGAACAGAAGAGTCGTCACACACACACACACACACACACATACACACACACACACACACACATACACACACATACACACACACACTAACACAGCAGAGATACTCACGCCCTCCCGTTGTCAAGGTGTATGAGGAAAGTGTCGGTGCCAAACTTCTCAAAGGTTTCATAATGGTGTCGGTCCATGTTACCTAAAGGAAGGAGGAGGAGTTACTGTTAGAATCATACATTAACATTTAGAACGGCTTTCAAAAGCATTAAATCTGGAGGATTGTATCTAAATGTCTGTTCGGTCATCGCTGCAGGAGGCAACAGGATGCTGAGGAAGGACTACAAAAAGCACAACTAAAACATAACACATATCAACTTATTTGCAACATGTTCAAAGTGAATAAACATATAAAATGAAATGGTTGTCACTGTCTGTCCGTATTCATCAACATGAATCCCATTACTTCACGGCTGTATGAAAGTGACTGTTAAACCTGTGTGAGATAAACACGTCTTCTGTCTTTAATGGTGCGTCTCTTTAAACTGGGGGGCAGCATTCACCTGTTATTCCTCCGGTAAAGGAAGGTCCAGTGTTTCCTATGCTAAAGGAGCTAGGAAAGGAAGCATTGAAGCGCCTTTCCCTGAGCATTTAGAGAACTCGGACAGCTCTTATGATGGAAGACACTGAGATACTTCAGTTCATTTTACTCAGTGAGGAACCTTCATGAGAGAAAAAAGACTTTTCACCTGCTGAAAACCAGCTACTGAAGACAAAACACTATGAATCATGACAATGTGTCAAATGTTTTAATGAAAAACATTACAAAGTACCGTATGAACATTTCATTGTACAGCACAGTTGTGTAAATACATTTAGAAGATGAATCCAGCTGTTGATTCAGAGCGTGCTCACTAGCCTCACCCGTCTCAAACTACACAATGCAGGATTTATCTCGGTGCGGAGGGGAAACGTGGTGATGATGTCAGCGTCTGATAAAGAGGCTCCGCCCCCCCACTGCCCGTCGAGGTAGAGCGGGCAGCGGTAGAGCGGAGACGACGCCGGAGAAGAAGCACGGACGTCGGTTAAATGTGAACTTTCGCGAGGGAAGATATCCGGGTCGGAGTTCGTGATTCGAGCCTCGACGCGAACGAGAGGCAGCGAGCACGGCTGCAGAGAGGCGGAGTCCTGGAGGGCTCCCAGCTGGGTATCCCATGATGCACCTCTCAGCTGCAGGCCGCACAAATACACAGCGTCCAGAGGAAGTGAGGCTGGGAGAGAAACGTCCCTCAGAACCTGGAAGACAGGATGACAAGAGGGTAGGATAGAGGACAGGAGGATAGAGGACAAGAGGGAAGGATAGAGGATAGAGGACAGAAGATAGAGGACAAGAGGGTAGGATAGAGGACAGGAGGATAGAGGACAAGAGGAGAGAGGATAGGAGGATAGAAAATCGGAGGAGAGAGGACAAGAGGACAAGAGGGTAGGATAGAGGACAGGAGGATAGAGGACAAGAGGGTAGAGGACAAGAGGGTAGAGGACAAGAGGAGAGAGGACAGGAGCACAGAGGACAGGAGGACAGAGGGATATTAGAGAAACATTTCATCCACTGGGAATGGATTTTAGTATGATTTTTTTTAATTGGTTTGCTTCACCTGAAAATGCAGAGTTACATCACTGATGTATTTGCGATTTACTTGAGCGGCCTCTCTCGTCACCGCCACCAGGAAGCCTCGGGCGTTTCTGAAGGCAGACAGCCGGTACGCGGCGGGAGGATCTGAAGCACTGCCGCGGCGCCCGAGATAAGTGATGATTAACTCCGCCCTCCTCTCCAGCTGAGACAAGTCAGTGGGCGAGAGGAGCGAGGTAAAAGGTCGCTGCAGCTCCGAGAGGAGCGACGACACCAGATCGACGAGATGGTCCCGCTCGGCCCGGAGGAAGTCCAAGAGGTGACCGTGGGAATCAGCTGCTGGGTCTGTCGCTGGGTTCGTGAGGCGACTCCTCAGAGCCTGCAGTCTGTCTGCAGCGTTGCTGAAGGCCAGCTGGTGGTGGAGCCGTGTGCAGAAACTCCTCGCCGCCGCTCCCAGAGGAGTCTGGGAGGCCTGCAGCAGTGCGCTCAGATCGTGGCTGTGGATCTCCATCATCTCGGCAGCTGCAGCGTCTGCGTCTAGGCCCAGCACACCACGGGGGTCGTTGAGGCTCACTGGGTCCGGAAGACTCTGCTCCAACATCTGGAGAAGCTCGGACGAGTCTGAGGACAAGAAACAGCCACAATCAGTATATTTTACTAACTAATCTGAGGAGAACCAAGAGACAACCTCCGGTTCAGAAGAGTGAAGCCAATGCTTCATGTGTTAAAGCTGCATTCCCTCTAGTTTCCACCAGGGGGCGACTCCTCTGGTTGTATAGAAGTCTATGAGAAAATGACTCTACTTCTCTCTTGATTTATTACCTCAGTAAACATTGTAAACATGAGTTTATGGTCCCCAATTCCCACTCAAATAAAAGGTCTGAGCGGCGGCAATTTTTATGTTAACTGTTGCATTTGCCACCGTTGTAGCAGGCTAACTTCTGTAAAAACGTAACAGACTTTCTTTAAGTCGCCGGCTCACTGAGGTGAAGTTTTGCATTAATGACTTCAGTTGCGAAGCGTAGAGAGTTTAGAGTAACTGAGTAAAATTGAACAGCTTCATCCACACGCTCGTGTCACAGCGGAAACATCTCTGCTATCACCAGATGAACTTTGTTCCGCTCGCTGGCTTGCATATTAGCTAGCTAGATAATTAGCTGACTGTGCTATAGTTAGCTAGCTAGCTAATTCCACCAATGCCTTCATGCTACACAGACGATGAGCCCGAACAGCAATCTGGTGGCTAGTGGTCAGATGACCAACAGTTCCTCTCCTGTTCTAAATCTATGATTGTCTTTCTTTCAACTTGTTGTTTGTACTGTTGATTTATAAACATGGCCTCATTTTAATGCTGTAATTATGTAACTTGGCTTCAGCTAAATGTTTCAAATGTAATATAGTACGTCGAAAAGTATCATGAAAAAAAAGCGATAGATCTGTGTCATTAATTGGCTTGTGGGATGTTGACTAGAATATTCGGCACTATCACAAAGCTGTTACCAGGATTGGTGTTAATACCAGAGAAGACGTGGGGCTCTCTGCTGAAGCAGGTCTTGGCAACGCTGTCCACCACCTCCAGATCTGCAGAGTCTACAACATGGCCGCCGTGCACCAGATTGACTATGAATGGAAGAAGTAGAATAAGGTTGAAGTGCACGGTAGCTGAACTAGAGGGACGGATGTATTGATAATAAGGCCTCACCTGCGATGTACTGCAAAGCCGTGGCGTTGTTGTGGCAGATACCAGCGATGTTAACGTGAGCGTCCGTCAAAGCCAGGAGGTCTTCGTGACTCCTTCAAAACAGAAACGATCCACAATGTACAAGCATGAACTCTGACTAAATACAACATTTGAATAACGTGATGTGGTTTTGAAATACTGAGACATTAATTCACTTCATATTTGGTTTCATTCTGAATGAATACGACAGGATGAGACACCACCTGTATCTTAACCCTCTGAACACAAAGCAGGTTCAGGGTGTTTTTGGCTCCTTTGTCTCTCTTTATTTTCTCTGTAATATATAAAGTTCTGCTCCTCTATGGAAACAGAACCATGATGACTAGAAGTAGAGAGAACTAGAACATGTCTTTAGTGCAGAATAACAGTTATGATGACATCAAAGATGCTTTTCAATCCCCAAAAAAATCCTGTTTGGTGGTTCAGAGGGTTCATTTCCTCACCATCTGTAGCTCCTCCCCTGACCCGGGCGTCTCTGCAGTAACACAGAGTGGAAGACGGCGCAGCGGAGGAGCAGCTCCATGTTGTCCGCTGAGAGACCCGACAGAGACCGATGGTGTCTGTCGGACGCCAGCTGACCCAAAGAAGAGCTCAGCTCCTCCTTCAGGTCCCAGGGGGAGTCACAGACCAGAGGCAGGGCGCACACTCGCACTGCCGCTGTTCAATAACAAAAACAATCATCATTATTAAAATGTCTTCTTATTGTAGGACCAGTTGTACAGCTGAAGTCAACAGCCGAGAACACCTTTATGTTTAAAGCTCCCTCTGATTGTATTAATCTACCTGTAAATATTCTGCATATCATCATGTCTTCTTATTGTAGGATCAGCATGTCCATAATGACGTCTCTATAATTATGTCTTACTACTTCATTACTTACGTTTATGTTTTCTATAACCTATGAAAGAATGATGCATTGTCATGCTCTGTTTCAGAATGACCTCCTGATTTTGTGTCTTATTTAATTTTTATTTATTTATTTATTTTGTTGTTTGTTTTAGTTTTTTGTCATATTTGGTGTCGTTTACTTATCTTTTTGTTTTGTTTGGTTAAATCTTTGCACTATCAGTTAATTTTAATATTATTCTATTTCATTGTATATATTGTGCATTTTTAGATTTAATAAAATAATTAACATTTTCATGCTCTGTTTGACTTTGACCTCCTGATCTTGTAAATCTTATTTTATGTTTTTTTGTCATATTTGGTGTTGTTTAATTATCTTGTAATTGTAGTTTTTGTGTTAAATGTTTTGTCTAGCTGTGCTTAGGTTGTATAATTGTCTTTGAGGACATCCCTGAGGGGTTATTCACAATAAAGAATTTCTATATTACAATTTGAGGAAAACCAAGAGAAACAGTCAATTTGATCACTTCAGAGAGAAAAGTAAAGAAGATAAGAATGGATGTACGTTGCTCTGTGTGATATCATGTTTCATATCTTAGTACAGGTGGTGGCAGTAGTTCCATAGAGCAGCAATGGAAACATAGAAACATCTACCTGGTATGGAGCAGGATGCATCTTCTTGAGTTATGAACCACAATCTGAAGCCCGGGTGGATCAGCCGTCGCTCCTCTGTGGGACATTAAACAGCACACGGGTACATTAAGCTTTTTGTTCATGATAATAAAAGCAGTTTCAATTTTAATTCTCGATGAACCTCCCACCTCTGAGGGAGGAGATCAACCCACTGAGGCGAGCCGCCACTTCTCCGTCTGATTGCTCCATCAGGTGACAGTTAAAGACCAGCCAGTGTCCGTTGTGAACAGCTTCGTCCAGCTGAGAGAGAACGACCTCTGAGTCAAAAGAAACGAACTTCACCTGAAACCAGATCAGAAACGCTTCATAAGAACCATCATCAACACAGTCAGTTCATCCAAAGGTTCCATCATCAACACAGTCAGTTCATCCAAAGGTTCCATCATCAACAGTCAGTTCATCCAAAGGTTCCATCATCAACACAGTCAGTTCATCTAAAGGTTCCATCATCAACACAGTCAGTTCATCCAAAGGTTCCATCATCAACACAGTCAGTTCATCTAAAGGTTCCATCATCAACACAGTCAGTTCATCCAAAGGTTCCATCATAAACACAGTCAGTTCATCCAAAGGTTCCATCATCATCACAGTCAGTTCATCCAAAGGTTCCATCATCAACACAGTCAGTTCATCCAAAGGTTCCATCATCAACAGTCAGTTCATCTAAAGGTTCCATCATCAACACAGTCAGTTCATCCAAAGGTTCCATCATCAACACAGTCAGTTCATCCAAAGGTTCCATCATAAACACAGTCAGTTCATCCAAAGGTTCCATCATCAACAGTTTACTGTTATCAACGACGTGATCATGTTAACATGTTATATATCAACATGTTTCTAAACCTTTAAGAAATCTTTTGTAAAACATTTAGAAACATTAGGTACCAGATGTTAACACTTTATAAAATGCTTAATAATTACTTTGTAAAACATATATTTGCATTACTTAGATAGTTAACACTTTGTTGATGGTTAATATTTGGTTTCTGGTCTCAATCATGTTTTTAGATGTTATACAAATCATTTGGTAAACATTAACAAATACTTTGTCAAATACAAATATTATAATGTGTGCAACAATAAACTGTAAATAGTTTACTTATGTAATCAGAATTAAATTGCTATTGTTTCTTTTAGCTACGTTATGTAATCTATGAAATAATTAATTTATATGACAGAAAAAACTAATGATAAAATAACACAAATCATGGCATTACACTATTTATTTTTTCTGTTTGTAAACAGTTAAATAACTATGAACTGAAGTTTAAGGGACTGTGAGTGTATAATTCATTAATATTATAAACTGTTAAACATGTTCATTGGTTCCAGTTATTGAACAGTTTATGTTACCGTCTTTGTTTCTGCGACACAGCGGGCCAACGTGTTTAGAAGAGGCTGAATGCTCGTCCGTCGGGGCAGCGTGAGGATGACGGGCCCCTGGTGTTTCACCAGATAGCGTGAGAGGGCCTCCGGGTTGCCAGCGTGAGGGGCCTCAGTCCCCGCCGTCCGTCCGTCCGGACAGAGGTGGTGGTAGGCGGCCATGGCCTCAGCCAGTCCCTCCAGGCAGCCGGGCAGCACCGTCCTCCAGAGGAGCGCCCGCTGCAGCAGCGACAGATGGGAGTGAGAGCGACAAGGAACGGCCCCGACGACGCTGGAGGAAGGGAGGTGCAGGTACTCCTTCCACTGAGCGGGGCGAGTGGAGAGAGAGGATATCAACCCAGAGAAGACCGGGATCTGCTCGAGGCGGAGGAGCTCTGGGTGGATGCGAGAGGGGATCCAGCTGGGCAGAGCGCTGGTGGACTGAACGGGATGTTCTACGTCCTGAAGGCCCCTGAGGAAAGCCGCCCTCTCGGCCTCGGAGCAGAACCCGTTGTGTTGGAGCAGAGCCGCGGAGAGCAGCAGCTCCAGAACGGCGGCATGGCTCTTCAGGAGACAAGGCCTGTACTGGTCCAGTAGCTGGACCACCATCCGGTTTGTGACCTCTGGTATTACCCCCCACGGCACTTCACCGACTAATGGCCTGTCCTTCACAACGAGGACCTCTTGTATAGCCGTGATGAAGCCTTGTAGAGAGAAGTAGTAGGAAGGAGAGAGGCGGGCCACCTCCTGCAGAGCCCCGTAGAAAGACGCGGCCAGCTTCAACACCTGGCGCGGTGCAGCCAGCAGGAGATCGTGGTGATCCAGCTCCACACTCAGCAGCCGGATCTCAGCCTGCAGGCTTGACGTTGCATCCTCACAGACGGCCACGTGGGCGAGAAGACCGGAGTCCTGCAGCAGTGAGGTGTCGGACTGCAGGATGTATTCCATCAGAGTGTCCTGAGACCAGATACACAGACATATACAGTCAACTGATGTTCAGCATGTTATCGACTAACAAAAGGACAGCAGTCTGCTTTAGTTTCACTTTTTCCATTTCATTGACAACAATCACAAAAAGCCCAGTTCAGGATCAGTGCCACACAGTTTGTGGATGTTTTGAAGCCTCTAGTTCAGCAATTTCGTCGTCGCCATCTTGGTTTTTTTGCAACCAGTGAACAGGAAGTGACCATATGTGGACTGAGGAGGAGTGACGTAGAGACGGCGTATACGTCTCTGGTAGAGACCTGTCAATCACCGTGTAGCCCCGCCCTAAAGCATCCCCTGCTTTATGGTCTGTGTGACTCTAAATGGACCATAATGTACCAAATGAACATCATGCTGTATTGAAGAAGACTTGAAACTAGAGATTGAGACCATAAACTCATGTTTACAATGTTTACTGAGGTAATAAATCAAGAGAGAAGTAGAGTCATTTTCTCATAGACTTCTATACTCGGGATGGAAAGAAATAACAACACTAGAACGAGAGATTCAAAACGAATCTGTTTTTACAATGAAACATGATCAGAGATCAGAGACTAGAAACACATGTTCTACTGAGTCAATAAAACTTTATTTACACTCTGATGGTTGACGTTAAAACTTTATTTACACTCTGATGGTTAACGTTAAAACTTTATTTACACTCTGATGGTTGACGTTAAAACTTTATTTACACCCTGATGGTTGACGTTAAACCATGACGGGGATCGGTACAAAATGTAGGATTCTGCAACTACATTGGCTCCGACAACTGCAGTGAAAAGCTGCCAAACAAACGCCTCCTGACCACGACTACACCACAATAGAAAAGAAGCTCCACACATTAGACTCAATCACCAACAGAAGCAGTATTTCCTTGATTATGATTGTACGCAGTGATCTCGTCACCTTTTCTGACACCAGTCTCTCCTGCAGCAGCTGCTTGTCGTGCTGGAGCTGCAGGTGTTGCATCAGCAGCTTCTCACACTCAGACTGCAGCAGCTGAGTCAGCATCAGCTCCTGGATCTCCTCTGAGCTCAGAGAGAGGTCGACCACAAGCACCTGAGACAAGATGGACGGATGGACATCTGCAGAACGAAGAGCAGGAAATACAGAGTGAGCCGCTACTTTGAGATGAGTTAGAAGTAGAGATGGACATCTTTATTATTACATTACTATTTCTTCTCTCTGGTCATGTGTGTCTCACACTGTACTGAGCCGGAGACAAAGAGACAGAGATAGAAAAAGAGAGACAGAGAGAGACAGAGAGACAGACAGACAGACAGAGACAGACAGAGAGAGACAGAGACAGACAGAGACAGAGATAGAAAGAGAGAGACAGAGAGAGACAGAAAGCGAGACAGAGACAGACAGAGACAGACAGACAGAGAGACAGACAGAGACAGAGAGAGACAGAGAGACATAGACAGAAGAGACAGACAGAGAGACAGACAGAGACAGAGAGAGACAGAGACAGAGAGAGAGAGACACAGAGAGAGACAGAGACAGACAGAGACAGAGAGAGACAGAGACAGAGAGAGAGAGACACAGAGAGAGACAGAGAGAGACAGAGAGAGACAGAAAGACAGAGATTAACCCCTGTGCGGTTGTATGGAGAAACCCTTCTCACCACTGTGTACTAGCTGGAGAGGCAGACGGGTGCTGAGGAAGAGGCAGAATTCAGGGTGAGTCGATCGCTGCTTTAATCCTGGAAGCAAACACGGAGCAGAGCGCTGCAGTCTGGACAGAAAGGGAGGACTTGGAGTCACACGTTCCACGTGAGTCACCAGGACTCTCAATCCTGCAAAACAACAAAGGATGGGAATGAGTTACGGCTGAATAAAGAACTCTGTAACTTCTATTTTATTTTTCCTGCCATCATCCACCTCTCTCTGCAGCCCGGTCCAGATGGTCCAGCAGCTCTGGATCATCAGCACGAACCACCAGCTCACACTCCGTCTCCCGTTCCAGCTCGGCGTCCTCTCCTGCAGAGCAGAAGACGCTTATTGTTCTGGTTTTAGGTTTTACAATTCGGCAAAATACAAAGAGGCATTCATTAGCATTTCTATTTTATAGCATTGTTTGATGGTACTTTTCTCCTTGTATTTATTTATAATTGTCATCGAGGACCCCCCTTGAAAACGAGATGGTACATGTCAAGGGGTTATTCCTAATAAAGAGTTTCCAATAGACTGCCTGGTTAATTGGTTAATTGGTTAATTGGCATGTGGGATGTTCTGAGACTCTTTGGGTCTACAGTACCTGTGATGAGGCAGCTCTGAGAGTCCAGATGCTGCTGGCTGTCTGCCAGTAGAGGCCAGCGCTGAACACAAGCGCTGCTGCAGCTCCACAGCAGCAGCTTCACCACCAGTCTGGTTAGGTTCAGGTGAACGCCTGAACCTAAAGCCCGACCCAGAGGCCGCTGCAGACTCTCGGACGCGGGGATGGGAAAACCGAGAGGCGGGTGAGGAGGTGCGGTGTCAGAGTGCGTAGTAAACAGGGAGGTTCTGGGGTCCTCGGGGTTAATGTCGACGCTTCCTGTCTTTAATAACTCCCTCCACTTGACCAGCAGCTGTGTGCGTACGTCAGGTCCAAAGGGGCCCAAATAAGAGATGATTGCAGCCAGGATAAGGGCATCTCCTGGTAAGGACTGGTTATTTAGCTCTGCCTCCTGAGGGGGGGGAGGGGGGGAAATAGAAAAAATCAAGTATCATTTAAATCGATTTGTTTGTTGATCACTAACGACATGTGACAGAATACTTTCATCAACATCTGATAAGGAAGCGTGAGGATTAAGAGCAGCAGACTTTGAGACGATCTCCGCTCCATGGCCGACCAAACGCCACCAAACTGCCCCAGAGAGGAGAGGGAGGAGAGACCTGATGGATGCTAAGCTAGGACCTGAGGCTACTCCACTACCCAGCATGCTTCTGGCTGTCTGATGGTCACAGACGAATAACATGGATGAAAGCAGCGGGAGGTCGGTGACTATTGAGCCCACATCTTCACAGAGACCTGGATCCATGGTGGTCCAGGATCAAGCTGCACTTGACGGGGGGACAGCAGGACAGAGATCAGGACTCTGGTGGACCAGAGGAGGAGGACTCTGTGTTTACATCATGAGGACTCTGGTGGACCAGAGGAGGAGGACTGTGTTTACATCATGAGGACTCTGGTGGACCAGAGGTGGAGGACTCTTGGTTCTCAAACACAGTCAAAGGTGATGGACGATGTTTTCCTCGTGATCTGTCTACATTCCTCATGACGCTAATTTAAAAGATGCAGGAATGTTCGACTGTGTTAGTTTGGTTTGTCGTGTGTTTGTTGTGTTGAAAATGAGCTAATCTTAATTGTGTTGTCCATCCGTGTGTTGCATAATGACAATAAATGATCCTTGAATCAACACACAAAAAATATGGACCATCTTCCCTCTGATGGTCTCGTTTACTGATGTAGGTCATAGAGGATCGGGACTAAACTGAGACTGGTTCAGAACCAGTTGAAAGTCCCTTGTAGGCCTAGTAGCTTTAAGTGGCATGTTTCAGTGACACGTACAGTATAACTCTGTTACCTGAGCAGCAGCCCTCCAGTCTCTGACATGTGTCTCCAGCTTCCCTGCAGCTGAAGCAGCTTCTCCCTCTGAGCTCTCAGCTTTCTGCAGCTGCAGCAGTTTCTCCTCCAGTTCTGTTCGTACCAGCTGCAGTCGAAGCTGGACTTCCTCCCGACGCCGGCGTGCATCCCCTCCCTGCTGCTCGGCCAGGCGCAGTCGACCGTGGGCCTCTTCGGCCAGCAGCTCCAGCTGCCGCTTGACCAACAGTCGGTGCTGCACGCAGCAGCACTCGTACACTGCTTGGACCCATCGGCACAGGGACTCGCAGGCTTTGCTAACCTCCTGCACAGACTCCGGTGCAAACTGGGGGCTGTGAACTATCTGGCCGAGCTGCTGCAGCTGCTCGTCCGTCACGCTGTAGCGGTCAAAGAATTCCAACTCCTAGGAGAGATTCGGCACATTAACAAAGAAAGGACAGCCTCTTGTGCAGAAGTGAACCACTGCTGACTGACGGATGATATTACCGTTATCCATCCACACACCTGGAAAAAGTTGGATTGTCCCAGAAGCTGTCTGGCACTCTCCCAGCCTGGTGGACGATTAAACAGCAAACAGATGGCGTCCATGATTTTCACCACTCCGTCAGGTGGATCTCTGTAGTGACGCACCTCCTCCAGGTCAGATGGATTCAGACAACTAAGAATCTTGAGGCCTGACAGGAACACACGTTCCACCTAAAAAAAGATTTGAAACATTTGTTTCTTTTCTTTTAAGTATATCTTATGTTACTTATTTGATTTTGGGATGTTAATAAAACATCTGTTGACCTGTTTCTGAGCATGATTAATCTGCTCCTCCAGGTGATGCAGCTCGTTCTCCTCTACTACACACTTCTCCTGAGCCTCCTGGAGCAGTTCCCTCTGATCCTCTGCGTCTTTGAGGAGATCTTTCTGGCGCTGCAGGATGCAGAACATGCCATTCATCTTCACATATTGCAAATATTAATTGAGGCAGGGTTACTTTAACACAGGTCTCTTCTTTTGACGTGAGTTGCACAGAAAAAAGAAATGGTGGCCGTCGAAACTTGCTGCAGGCTAAACAGAATATTGATCTGACTTGAACTGTATGTCACCTGCTGAGTCTCAGCAACCTCCTCCTGCAGTCTTATGAAGTGCTGTCTGCACCGCACGGCTGTGCTGTGCAGGGCCTCCCAATGAGACAGAACAGTGGCAACTCTGATAAAAAACACCAGTGTTTTAAAAAAGACACAACAGCAGAAAATATAAATGTAAGCCTGGACAGTCTGATGCAATCCCATCAAACAGCTCTGCAAACAAATGCAGCCTTCCTTTACTGTTGGTCAGATATTGATATGAATTGTTGTTGGATTGCGTGATCATCTCCAGCGTACCTTACTGGTTCTTTATGTTTTGTAAGTACAGGGTGTAAGGTCACGTCATCACGATGAAGCTAAGTGGCAGTAGAACAATCATTAAGGAAGACTTTACCTGTTGGCTTCACTCTGCTGCTGAGTGTGCAGATGGTTGCAGAGGTAATCAAAGTTGGCAATGAACTCAATGTAAGTCTGAGGGCTGAAGGGCCGAGCTCTTAGAAGAACAGAAGCATAGCGACATGCAGATTGGTGGATTAATGCCATGGCCACAGACAGGCTGGCCTCTGAGCCTGCTCCCTCCACTAGACAGAGAGAAACAGGACATAGCTATAACACCACCAGCACACAAACCGGTCAACACAAAGTGAGTACAGACTTACGCTGGTGGTGTGACTCACTTTTGTAGGAACTGGTTTTGAGGCATTGAGAAACAACTTCCACTAAAGACTGGTTGGACCAAGGCTGGTAAACGTCCACGCAGCTACTGGAGCTCAGGGCCTTGGTCAGTTGAGCCTTGATCACAAAGGACAAACAAAGTCATCCATTCATGTCCACTATTGAAATTACTTTCGAAATTTCACACATTTAATGACACAACCAGGAGACAACCTCTGGTTCTTTAAAGTGAAGTCAATGCTTCACGTGTTAAAGCTGCATTCTCTCTAGTGTCCACCAGGGGGCGACTCCTCTGGTTGTATAGAAGTCTATGAGAAAATGACTCTACTTCTCTCTTGATTTATTACCTCAGTAAACATTGTAAACATGAGTTTATGGTCTCAATCTCTAGTTTCAAGTCTTCTTCAATACAGCATGATGTTCATTTAGTATTCTCTGATAATGTTACATTGGGAACAAATCAATAATGCAGAGCTAGTAACGTTAGCAGCACCGCTAAGTCTGTGTGGAGCCTTGTAGACCAGCTGCTGCTACAACAATACAAAACAATAAGTTAAGCCGATAAGTATCAACGATGATGGGCACAAAACAAAATCCCTTTTTTTGTTTTGTGCTGATCCGAGTGAGTCAAAAACGTAATACCGATACAAAACCATGAGTTTTATGATCCTCCCCTATTGAACACAGATACACAGGTGTCGTAATTCAAAGAGAATACATATTTACATTCCATCCATGGAGTCCAGGTGTGTCACTGCTGTGTGTCGGGGTGAAGGGAAGCAACAGGAACACATGCACATTTCTGTGAATTTGGCTCAAGTACCTTTAAAAAAAAAAGAAACAGAATGAGAGTGATTTAGAATTATTCCTTCAAATTATGACTATTACCTTTTCCTATAAACCCATTCTTTTAGATGCGGTTACATCACTACAGTATAAATGAATGTGGAGATTAAGGCTTCTTTCTTTTTCATTTTGCTCAAACGGTCACCACATCCGGAGAGCAGTACATGACACAGATAATCTGATTAAATCATCACCTTTGCCTCCTTTTAGTGCTCTAACGTGCATCTGAGAGGTTCCACCACGCTCAAAACAGCCAATCAAAGCTGAGGAGGCTCAAATCACTGCTGGAGAAGCTGTGTACTTTAATTAAACTGTCAAACTAGGCAGCGCTGATCAATTATGAATCACGATTCTGTTACTGCATTCCTTATTTCTGGCCTCAAACGTTATCAGAAACATATTGTACTTTCTGTTCAGCTGTAAAATGAAGTCGTTGGTGTTGGTTGTTTTTGGCTTTCTCATTTTAAAGCTAAACAGAAACTAAAATATGTTTCTGAAAACATATGAGTCCAGAAACAGGGAACGCAGTAACAGAATCCTGGGCACTGATTGGTTGTTTCTTCTTTGGGCGCAGTGGAATCTTGCAAATGAGGCAAAGGAACCTTTGAGTATATATGTGTTTATCAAAGCATCAACTATAAAATGACAACCAGTTGTCTATACATTGGGTACAAACAAATTAGGGATTGTCCTCTTACTTCTCAAACATCCAGCTGTCCATCAGGTATCTTCTGGACAGTTTCACTCTGGAAATCAGATCTCTCAGCTCCTCATCTGTGTAGAGTCCTGGGTACGTTGTGTGAGCCATCGCCACCAACAGCTCTTCTCTGACGGACGGGCTGATTCCTTCATGGACCAGTACGATGACGTTATCTCCATCCACTCTAGTTTGATTCCCGGCTTCTTTCAGGATGTCACGCAGCTTGTTCTCGTTGCCAGGATGCACCTCCATCAACCGGTAGCCCGTTAGATATGCAGCTAAACGCACGGTGGTTTTACGGCCCGTGTCTCTGTCTGAGCCAATCAGCACTCCGTGACCTCCAGGTATGAGCAGCGCCCTGAGGATACGCAGCAGCTGACGTACTCTCTGTCTGTGGACAATGCATCTGTCTGTAATCTTGAAGTCATCAACTTTCTGTCCTTTGTCTTCCTCTTTTCTGTCCATGAGTGCACACAGATCCTGCAGCAGAACATCCAAGTCTCTGCCCTGATAAGAAACGCTGCGTTTAAAATTGTGTTGCTGACTTGTTGGGGCCTCAGAGAGCTCAGGACCGTATACAAGCTCAGCCATGACGTCCTCCATGTGCTGAAGAGTCTGGGGTTGCAGAGGGTGAGTTTTTAGGCTCGCCTCTGAGTAAATGTTTCCAGACAGAAGCGAAGGTTCAGTCGATGTGTGGCCTTTCTCCAGGTCTGACCGGACAGCTGGTTTTGTCTCTTGAGGCAGACTTAGTGGATCTAGACTCTGACCGACTTCCTGAGTTTTTCCGAAGTGTGCTATTGCCGTCTCCGCTACTAAGGACACAAGAGTTTTTTTTTCGTCCTCTGAGCATAACCTGTCACTGAAGATACGCGTGCACTCGTGCATCCAGAGATGTGCTACTTTGAGGACGGATGCAGGAGGAAAGCCTGGCAGTGAATTATCCTCGTCCTGCACGATCCCCGTGTTTGGGATGTCCGGCTGCCACAAGTACATCCCCCTAAACACCTTCTGAAGGTCATGATGGGAGAATAGGAGATGGGGCCTCTGCACAGTAGGCTGGAACTGGTCGCGTACTGCTCGATAGAGATGTTCAGTAGCAGTGATGATGCGGCACGGCATATCCTCGCCGCTCTGATTCAGCGGCGTGTCTTTGAGCCAGAACTTTAGCCGAGGAGAATGGATGGACAGTATAACGTCCATGGATAGACTGGGCAGCACGAAGATGGAGAACAGGCGTGAGAGCCTGGAGGACATCACGTCACTGTGGCGATTGCCAGATCCAAAGACACAGCAGGTAGCCATGTAGCTGACGGCTCCAGCACTCAACGACTTGAAGTGGTCGGCGTCAAATGTTAGAATCTGTCCCAGTGAAATACTCTGTCGTAGCGTCTCTAGAGCTGTTGACGTCTTCCCAAAGACATCTATTTAACGGGAACGAAACATTTATCTCGTAAAGCTTCACACAGTTCAAAATCATAACCGAAGATACATTTTCCTACTTACCACAGGGGGCTTCATGCAAATCATCCACAAAAAGAAGCAGTCCCGGCTGTTTTGTCATGAGGCCCAGAGTGAACTCACGGTTGTTCTTGCAGCTGATGTTACTCAGAATAGTGCGCAGGTCTCTGGAGCTCAGGAGTGGACTGGCTGGTAGGTTAATGTGTGGCATGTCAAAACGCAGCAAAGCTTTGCACAGAGTGGTTTTTCCTGAAGCGGCCTCTCCTACGAGCAACACTGGTTGTTTGGCCTCCAACATGAGCTTCAGGAGATAGGCATATCTCCCATACTACATGAATAGATTTAAGACACTTAAAGTTAGTTGGTTAAAATGTTTAAAATGCAGTGAGGACTACATGTACTTTCACTATGGTCACGACAAACCTTGGGAGTGATGGAAGTTGTCAGCAGTGTGTTCTTGGGGCATGTCTTGCTTTCAATGTTTAAAAAGTGTTCAAACACACTCTCTTCATCAGGAACCACAATTTTGTACCGGCAAGTAAACAGCAGCTGACGGGCTAGTAAGTCGAACTGTGGCCGGTGGCTGGAGTAAAAACATCAAACACAAGAAGAAAATTGGTGACTGATATTCATTTTGGGGGCTTTTTGTCAAATTATAAAATGATTAGAGCAATAACTGAATAAATGTGACAATAAAAGAACTTCTATAAAGACGGTGATGATCTTACCGAGGATGCAGATGTCCACTAAATCCCCAAATATAAGCCACCAGAAAAAGGTTCCTGGCCATCAGGTCTTGTTTACTGTGGGGATCTGTGTCTGATGTTCTGTGTAGAAGTATATCTGGTGGGAGAAGAAATATTAACAAAACTTAAGCTACTACTTTCACTAGTCTGTATGCTTACGAGGTTATACAGTATGTTCATGCATTCTGGTTATACCTCTTTTGTCCATTTGTGGTTTCGGCTCAGCTTTTTCCACCTCCCTCCCAAAATGCTGCAGGAGAGCACGTAGGATCCGAACAAATGACGTGATTTCTTGCAGTCCGTACGCGACGCTTCCAAGACAATCTCCTTCCTTGTGGACTGCGGAGATTAAAGCCTTTTGCCTGAGCAAACTAAGTGTGCTGGAGAAAAGATCTTCAGCCAGACGATTCCACATTTTCAAGGTTCCTTGATCCAGTTTGTCTTCAAACAAGAGGGTATCCAGTTCACTCTTCCACGCAGCCTTCCATAGATCCGTAGCTGTGAGGTAAACAAGGCCGCAACGGGTCACTGCAGAGGGATTGGCATCACGTAGGTCAGTGACCTCCATAAGTAGCTTTAGGTGTGATTGGGGTGGCAGTGTTTCACCCGAAGATAGGCACAGAAATGGGTCCTCAGGACTGCACATTGTACTCAAGTAATCCAACCAGCCGGGCCTCCCAACAGGATTCCCATCCATTACCAGCCATTCCACAGCTGTATGATCGCTATTCTTCTTTTTGTTGCAGATTGTAGAACTTGTCAGTTCACGTCGTTCTGAATCTCTCAGCACCTTTGCAACAGCTCCGTCCTGCCATCCTCTCTGTTCACAGAAGCAGCCAAACACCTCTTCATGGGACATGGCGTGAGGAAATAAGACCACAGTTTGGACAGAGCTCCAAGTCGAAGCAGGTGTCTGTGGATCTGCCTGTCGGGTATCTCCTTCAGTGATATTGTCATTTTCAAACTGATGTTCCACTGCCTTGGCAACCAGATGATTGAGGGCTCCAGCTAGAACACAGTAACAGGTTGTCTTTCCACTACCTGAGGGGCCCAGAAGCATAACTGCCGGAGAGGATTTCATGGTCTGATAGAGTGTAAGAGCACTGCCAATTAGTTGGGCATCAGAGTGAAACCTTTTCCTTTGCAATTCCTCTGTAACTGCATGTTTCAGTTGAATCTTTTCTTCTTCCTCAATGTACTGCTGGAAAAGAGGAAACTGGCATGCTATAGGGAATGTGTCCTTGAAAATGACGTAGAACTGTGAGGCTTTCTTGTGCTCATAAACAACAGGTAAGAAGACAGAAAGAATGGCTTTGACGATAGCCGTCTCCTCCATTAATCCCTGGACAATTGACAAGTGAGAACGGTGACACCTGGAATGCTTTTCAGTTTCTTTTCTATCCTTTTCAACAAATCTGGCATCCACACATTGTGAAGGCGCAAGATCGGCTTGTTCTGCGACCGCATCTTTAGCCTCGACTGAAATTTCTCGTTCCCTTACACTTTGTTGTAAGTGTATTTCAGAGGCGGAGATGATCTTTTGCAAGACAACAAGGTAGCAGCTCTGGTGGTCAGAGAGGAAATCAGGCAGACAGAGGGAATCCTTGGCCAGGTCAATGAGGGCCACCAGACGTCGACTCAAAGACGTGGCCTCTGAGAAACCAATAGAAGTCAGCATTACTTCTGCAATGATCCTGTAATCTGGATGAGTTAACGCAATGGGTCTGGTGGCACATCGCAGACTCTCTGGAACCTCAGACGTATTACCCTTCGATGAGATGAGAACACATCCGTAGCTCAGCCTGGTAGAAACACTTTTACCTGCAAGTACCAGGTGAAGTTCTGAATCAAAAATGTTTTTGCAACCTGTGACCCCCCTTGTTAATTTAGAGAAGGATTGGTTGATGTCTACCAGATGCTGCCCCAGTAATGATAGGACCCCTTGTGTTAGTAAGTCCACAGAGTCTAGCAGAAGCCATGCTCCAGTCTCGAGGGCGCCCACCAGCATCCGCTGAACAACACCAGCTCTCATGTTTGGACAACATTGCAGATCGACAACTTGACGCCCTAACGCTTTCCCTAACTGGACCACAGTCGTTTTCTTTCCAGACATGCAGGGTCCACTCACAAACCCACACCTGTAGCTTGTTAGAGCCAGGAGAATCCCCAGTATCGCCCGATCTGTGGACGGCATATGAACCATCACCCAATCTTCTGGACCAAAATACTCATGATCATATTGAAGTCGATGGCTCAAAACCTCCACGTGACATGTTGGATCATCAATGCCCTCCAGACTCCAATCGTCTGAGTTTATATAGTACTTCATCAAACTGAGCCACTCAAAAGATGACTCCAGCACACATTGCACCTCCATGAGTCGAGACAGCTGCTGTGCATGCTTCATCGTTAGTTGCACTAAAGCACGAAGACACATCATCGTGTACTTAGAAACCAGAGATTCATGTTTAGCCCCTGTGTCTCCATCCCTTATGGAACGGCCAAGGGTTTTCAGTTTGGCAGAGTTGTATGCCTTTATGTCGCTCAACTTCACTGGGTTTGATTCTCGGAAAGCTTGTAGGACAGCCTTGCACCAAACTGTCTCCTCAGCCACCAGCAGACACTGAAGAGGATGTTCAGACAGCAGATCCAGCACAGGTAATACTATTTTCCTCATTTCAGGGTGGAACGGGATGTCTCCAACCTCCTTATCGCATGCCAAATCTGGACCGAATGGTTCAAGCTGGTTTCGCACAATAGCACATTGTTTCATGTGTTGTACCATGGTCAACTTTAGCTGTTTCTCAAAGACACAAAGCCAACCCAAGGGATTGAGATTTGGTTCCAAAGGAGATGTAAATGTAATGTGCTCCTGGAGGCCGCCAAAAAACCCCAGCACCTTCATCTGTCTGTGGCTTTGAGATGTTGTCCCACAGCTCTTCACACCTCTTACTTTAGACGGCGTTTTACAATCAACTTCAAGCCAACGTATCCCTTTAAAGCATTTGCGCACAAAGCGTTGCAGTGTGAAAGACGTTGGGTGAAAGGAGAGTAGTTGAATCACTTCCCTTTTACTCAAAAACCAGAGTCTTGGAAATTGTTCACAGAGGGTCTCCAGGAGGTCCACCATCTGGTTGGAAATGGCCTCCATTGTAGACAGACTATCAATGAGAATCTGGCGAAATCTATCACAGTGGAATCTGTCATTTGTCTTCTTGGAATGAACAAAGTTCAACACATGACGGTCACTTGATACAGAAAGCATAATTTCCTTAAATGTCTCGTCAACTGGTTGGAATCGCTCCAGCTATGAAAGAAAGAAGAAGAAAAAAATCTACATTTATCCGACGTATGTATACAAATATACCAGTTTCAAAGCATTGCACGCATTTTTGATGCAGAGGGGACGTACCAGATCCACTCTCTGACCACTAAAGCATGTGTCATGGAACATCTTGGTCAGGAAGGCCCACATATGCTGGTATCTTTCAAATAACAATAGTAGCTTCCCTGTTAATAAAAGGGAAAGCAAAAAAGGCAAATCAACATAAATAACTTTTCTGCACTTTCTTCGGTACATTTTCTTAATCTTCTTTGTTTTTTGTTTGTTAAATATATCCACCTTACCAAGATCTTGCAGTGATTGCATCCAATCTTCCATCTGCGGCCTGAACTCAAGACTGTGTGGGGACGTCATCATGGTGGAAAGAGACATCAAATCGCTCTCTATGTCAGCAGAGTGTATTTCCAGACCTGAGTGAGAAAATCATAGACTGTATATAAGAAGTGGACGTAGTCATTGTGACGTCACTCATTGGTTTGTGGACTGATGTTTTGAAGCCTTGAAATCGGTGATTTTGCTGTCGCCATCTTGGATTACTGCAGTCGCCGTGTTGTTTGTTTTTTTGCATCCATTGAACAGGAAGTGACCATATTTGGACTGAGGAGGAGTGACGTAGAGATGTCGTACACGTCTCTGGTAGAGACCTGTCAATCACCGTGTAGCCCCGCCCTAAAGCATCCCCTGCTTTATGGTCTGTGTGACTCTAAATGGACCATAATGTACTAAATGAACATCATGCTGTATTGAAGAAGACTTGAAACTAGAGATTGAGACCATAAACTCATGTTTACAATGTTTACTGAGGTAATAAATCAAGAGAGAAGTAGAGTCATTTTCTCATAGACTTCTATACAACCAGAGGAGTCGCCCCCTGCTGGACACTAGAGAGAATGCAGCTTTAACACATGAAGCATCGGCTTCACTTTTCAGAATCGGAGGTTGCCGGCTGTGTTTTATGTTACATAGGACGCTAAATAATGCCGTCACAGTTTAGCGTCTTCTCCTCTTCTGCTGATCTCACGCTGCATGTGAAGTCATTAACAGTGTGAGTAAAGTACAGATGTGCCTGATTGGATGGTATTGTTTGAACTCTGAATATCACAGAATTTTGTTAATCAAGTATCAATGTCGTCTACACGGGAGGCCTGCAGACATTAGGGCTGCAACTAACGATTATCTTCATTGTTGCTTAATCTGCAGATTCTTTTCTAGATTAATGAATTGTTTGGTGTATAAAACATCAGAAAACAGTGAAAGCAGGTCTTAAACTGTCTTGTTCTGTCAGTAAAAGTTAGGAAGCCCCCTGGTGGACACTAGAGAGAATGCAGCTTTAACACATGAAGCTTTGACTTCACTCGGCAGAACCAGAGGTTGCCGCATGGAGTCAACGCAAAGCGACTTGTTAGAAGAATGTTGCTTGTACACATTTTCCCCGAGCGGCGGAGCCTGCTCACTCATCTAAATTGTTAATTTGCTAGCTTGTTATTCAGTCTCACCGATGATGAGGATCAATCTTGCATCGTTAAAGGAGTGTTGACGGGCAGTTTGGAGATTTGAGACTGTGCCCTCCGTAGGCTTCTCCGTCTCCGTTAATCCATGTTGTGGCTCTCCAGTCTGCCAAACAGGCAGAGAGAATTTATCCAGCTGGAAGATTCTGACTTTCCATCCCTGTCGAAGCTTCTGGAAGGTCTGCTCCATGTTGCACTCCACCTGTGCATCCCTGCATACCTGCAAAATGAATCAAGTAACAGTGTTAGTGGCCTATCAGGATAGACCGTTGTTTATTGAGCCTGTTTCCAATAGCAGCTATACTGTATATATTATTTCCTGTCATAACAGCCCAATGTGTAACATCTATCCTGTTCTCACCTTGGTGATAAGTTTCTGGTCAAGTTGTTGAGACATCAGTTGAGCAACAGTCACCTTCGTCTCTGGGACATACAGCTGGCCCATGTCTGTCAGATGGAATGCATTTTCATTATTTTAGATATGCTGTGGTTGCATGCAAGTGTTACAATCAACGTGTCCTCGTATGATGTCCTACAAAAAGTTATTTCTCATTTTTTGATTTCCGACAAATGTTCGGCAACACCAGCGATCAGAGGGCCTGCAGTGAAGGAACTATTTCGGCAACAAAACTACTTGTTTAGGTTTATGAAACGATTGTAGTTTAGGTTACGCAACTTACTAGGTGGCGTTAGAAGCGCAAGTTATGTAACAAAAGTAAGGTAACATAAGTCAACGTTGACTTCTGGTTTCACACGAGACACTAACAGCGGTCTCCTCGGTGAAAGTCATGCGTTTGTTTGGACCGTCCTCCCTACGCAAACTTTGTCCTTCTTTATTCTACATCTGATATCCTTAGAGGCAACCCTGCACGTCCTGGCTCACAATTACGCGGGTTATATAAATACTCTGTATAAGAAGTGGACATAGTCATCGTGACGTCACCCATTGGTTTACGGACTGCCGTTTTGAGGCCTCGAGTCCGGCATTTTGGTCGTCACCATCTCGTTTTTTGTTAACAGGAAGTGACCATATCTGGACTGAGGAGGAGTGACATAGAGACGCCGTATACGTCTCTGGTAGAGACCTGTGCAGCTTTAACACACATCAGAACCAGAGGTTGCCACCTCGTTATATTAGATTATATTAGATATTAGTGCATCATTTATCACAGGTGTTAGTACAAAGACTAATTGAGAACAACCTGGTTACAATACGGGCAAAGATTCTGACCTTCGAAAATGGCTTTCCAGTGTCTGTGTTTGAGTGTCGGGCTCTGCAGCTTAGCCAAGACAGCAACCTGACAGCTGAAGCTTTCCAGGACTCCTAAAGTCTCCTGCAGCACTGCATCATGGGTAGGTATGATACTTGTTAGAGATAGAGCTTGCTCCTTCCACTTGGAAATATTCCCTTGAGCTTGTGACACCACAACCTGACAGATAAAATAGAGAGTTGTTGTTTTAACTCACATCGACTCATAAGCTTAGCATCTCTGTCTGTTTTTAAGAGATGGTCTGTGCTTCCCAAACGTCCACCTCTCACAGTCACAGTTCTCTCCAAAGAAATAGAAGAGAGATCAAGTTCAAGATCTAGTAAACAGATATCAGTTCATATAAATACTGATTTCCTTGTCAAACATATTTCACCACCTTGTCAATAAGAGAGAGCTTGACTTGACATGTTACCTCACTGAGCAGCAGCTGTTTCCATTCGTCCGTCCATGTTGTGTGCTCAGCTGTCAGCTCCCACAACTCAAAGCGGGCTTTGACCCTCAGAGCGTCTGTTGTCAGAACGGTCAAATCCATCGGACGTTCTAATGGGAGGCAATGAAAGACAACGTCTATACAACTGAATATTCCATGCTTGTTATGAGAGCAGCATTGGCAAGGCCGTCTTTTTATTTTAATACATCTAGCAGTGGTCAAAGCTTGAAGTACAAGTTAAATGTACACGCATGATCGATCTCACCGTGCAGGTTTTGACTGTCTCTACTAAGTAGTTCCAGCTTTGCAATGAGAACGTGCACATGTATACACATGTGGTTCAGTTCGGACACCGTGTCTTTTGCGTTCTGGGTCGGGTCGAGGAAAGGTCCAGATGTCGCTTTAGAGACCAAACCTTCAAGGTCACGGGCCAACAATGAGAACATCGTCTCCAACGCGTTCGCCGCTGAGGGAAGACGGCTGCACACGAGGCTTTCTGCTTCTTTCAAGACGGAAATAAAGCAATTCCATGAGGCCAGCATCTAAATATGAAACAGAGAAGCACACGCTGTAGTGGAGGGAAACAGAGTAACACGGCTGTAAAGTGGTCAATAAGGAGCATCAGTTTCTCCTTTATGCTCTCAAACCTTTTCTTCCAAAGTCACCTCCTGCTCAGTCATCTTCCTACAGCTCATGCAAACGGCGTCCTGGAGGGAGTGAATGTAGTCCAAACGCTTCTGCGTGTCGGACTGTGATCTCTTACACTCCCTCACCTGAAATAATGAGACACATTTAGCATTTAGCATGGCTTACAAACTACGTTAAATTGGTGATGGACAACAAAATGTATGTCCCGACCCTTTTGGCCCAAAAACTATGTAACTTCCATTTTGTTGATTCTAGTTTTTAACTTGAACTTGAAGATGAAAAAGCCAGTTTGTGAGTTTCAGGTCACTTAGAACCCGAAAGAATGTGAGGGGAAAATAATCCTTCTGTCTATGTCTTATGTCTTATGCATGAACAGTGATGTGTGCAGTATAGTTGGTCTGATCTGATGTCAGTTGGGTGAAATCTCATGATGCTGCAGAGTAATAAAACTGGAGTTTGGGTTTTCTACATATAAATGAACGTCCGTCACCGAACCGCCAGCAGGGAAGGCTCTCGATAACTCGCACTACACCGGTGTTGTGGTGTCTGGTGCACCAGAAGGGGTACGGTTCAGTAAAATAACACCAAACCACAAACTCTCACTGTGACGAATCGAAACCACATTTGGAACGTTTTTAACAACTCTTCACCACAAGAGTTCACAAGACAACAGCCTTTAATGCACTTTGCATCGCCCGAATCGTTCTCGGATAATGGAATCTCAGGATCTGAGTCTTCCATCTAAAAGTGTAAAAGTCAGTTAGACTTCTGATGAAACCTTACCCTCTGGGCTGCTTCTATCTTTTGCATAATTATTTATCTTTACGTTCTATTTCTCTTCTTTTGAGGCTTTTATTTCTCATGCAAGTACAGAAGGACTTTCTTCACCATGAGTGCGTATGTTGAGAGCTCGTGTAAGTCTCGGGGGTCCGTCTTTAGTCCAGCAGCAGCCTTCTCCAGGTCGTCTGTGAGGCTCTCAGAGAGCAGCTTCATCTGCTCAGCGAGCAGCTGCTTCACCTCCTCCTCTACGAGCCTCAGCTCTTGTCCTGTTTAGAAAGAAACACAGAGAGACTCAAAGCGTTCAGCGTAGAAGACAAGAGTAATCTCTCACACTTTACTGTTCTGAAAACAGGAATCTGTATTTCGAGTGAAAGGTACCGAGACTTTGCTTGGTGCGGGTGCACTGGATGATGAACAGCTGGGTGGAGGTGGAGATTGACGAGGGAACTGTGTGGATTCTCTGGGTCCAGTGGCGCACCTCCTTCAGGAGCTCCACGTACAGCAAAGCGGGCCGACCCTTCATGCACTCCAAAGAGGATCGACTCCATTGGCTGACGAACACGTGGACGTCCTCCAGCCACGAGTAGCTGTCACACAGCTGCTGGACCTCCAGTTCAGCTCCCTGTGCAGAGAACAGTGAGGGGTGAACATCATTCACTATCGATGATGCATCAACCGTCCTCCAGCATTTGATTTCAGCAAAAAGTCTCACCTGCATGATCTCCGCCTGCTCTTTCTCCACTTGTCGTGCGACATCGTTGGTGCTGATCTGCCACTGCAGCTGTGTCTTGAGGAGCTGGTAGTAGCAGCCCTGCAGCCTGTCGTCCTGCAGCCTGTCATCCTGCAGCCTGTCGCCCTGCAGCCTGTCGTCCTGCAGCCTGTCGCCCTTCAGCCTGTCGCCCTGCAGCCTGTCGCCCTGCAGCCTGTCGTCCTGCAGCCTGTCGTCCTGCAGCCTGTCGTCCTGCAGCCTGTCGCCCTGCAGCCTGTCGCCCTGCACCGACAGCGGGATGGGTTTAGGCGGCAGCAGCAGCCGGAGAGCCGATGGGTCTCTGAGCAAACAGCAGAACATCCTGGGACCGGTCGCTCCATCGTTGTTCTTATTCTCTAATTAAAAACACATCAAAAACAAACGCATGCACACGGCAACAGGAAGGACAACTGTTACATCAATGCTGCAGGTTTTGGGGTCAACAGATGCTCAAATCTACTGAAGAAGGTGGTCGTACCTGAAATATTAGGATGTTCCATACAACGGAGGTCAGAGATCAAATCCTGAGATGAAGCAGAGGTGAAGAAACTGTCGCTGATCTCCAGGAAGAATCCACAAGTGTCACACATCTAGCGGAGAGGAGAGGAGTCAGGAGTCAGGGTGTGACATTACAGCGAGCCTGTGACCGAGGATCAGAGATCATCTGTGCAGCAGTGGAGCTGTTTTGTGTAAATGTGTAGATTACTTGGATCAAAGAGTCGACAGTCAGCAGCGCTTCACTCACAGCTTCCTGGAACAGAAGCGTCGGTGGATCCACCGTCAGACGACCGTCGGTCCTGAAACACAGCTCGGTGTGGAAGAGACGGCAGCGCTGAGGCTTCTGCCTCTGATCACACACGAACACACAACACGAGCGTTTAATTCAACCCGATCAGTCACACATCTCAGCTGCTCCTCTCGTTCACATTCTTACTCTTTATGACGTCAACATTTCTCAATTGTGTGTTTTTATTTGTAAGATACTTTCAGGTGAAGAAATATATTCCTGAACATTTCAAGACTCTAAAGTCAATTCACAGGTTCACTGTTACTCAGCTCGTCATCGTCACATCTTCATCCTCCTGCATTACTGACGAGCAGAGTTACATTTTCAGTAAGATTTAGAGGAACCACATTATGGGATGACCTAACAGAAACATGTGACTATCAATGATTGTTCATGTCATTCTTGTTTTAGCTGTTGTATTATATTTAGAGTAGTTTGACTCATAAGGAAGAGTTAATGCAGATAAACCAACATCAATAATATGATATAACATATCATATAAATACCAACATCTCCTAAACAGACACAATACTCTCACTCGACACAGTTACATTTTCTTCTTCTTTGGTTGCTTGTAATGTATTGATATTGTTATCATATTTCATATCTTGTAAGAACATCTTGTCAGTAATATTTTAAGTGGTCGTATCTCATGCATATTCATTTCATGTTGTCTTATTATTATTATTATTATTATTATTATTATTGATGTGGAGGCTTGAAATAAGCCCCGTCGGCTGTTTGCCTCTTCCTGCTCTCAGATATTATTCATCTCTGTTGTTTGTTTACTTTTATTTTATTCTTTAAATTGTGGAAAATGAAAGAAGTATAGACGAGCTCTCCTGTCACCTTCACGACGTCGCTGAGGAAACGTGCGACGTGTTGTCCGACGACCGTGACGAGACTCTGGAGAGTCATCCGGTTGACGAGAGCGGCGAAGCGGCCGAGTTTGAGCAGGACGCCTTCGGACCGGCTCGACTCGTTCTGCAGCTGCAGGTGAGCCGGGTGCAGGCGGGTCGGCTCATCGCAGCCCGCTGGTGCTCTTCTGGAGAGTTCCATGTGCAGCTGCAGCTCCCGGTGAGCCGTGTAGCTGTCCTCTCTCACCTGCAGCAGAAACACCATACCACAGTGACAACACAAGCTCTACGTGCTACCGCAGCCTACACACCTGCTGCTGTAGTGTTTATGTATTTGACTGTATATTATTCAGCTGTACAGTGTTGTACTACAGTGGTTGTGTACTGATGATTGTAATAACAATGAAAACATGAGCTCTCTATCGAACTCATTCTACGTCGAGCTGGAAACTGAAATGTTGATTAATGTTCTCTGTAAAAAATAATAAACTAACAAATAAAAATAAATAACAATAAAAAAAATTAATTAAAAAATTAAAATTAAAATTGAGTCTGTTAGCGTTTAAATAAAGTTGTACCGCGTTCAGGATGACAGCGCGATGATGTGACAGCTTCTCCAACGTCTGCATGAGCGTTTGCTTCATGGTCTTCAGCTCGTTCTTGAGCTCCAGCAGAGTGAAGGTGTGAGACTCGTCCTGAGGCGGCCGCTGAGCCTCCTTCACTTCTTCAATCACCCTGTAAAGATAAAGGTGTCCCTGATGTTAGGCTCGACACGTGTCCCACCTCACAGCTACACGCCGGACCCACAAACAGGTCCACGAGGAGGAGCTGGTCCTGCAGGATGAGACTCACCTGGTGAACACAAGAAGAGCTTTCCTGAAGCGAGGAACAGACAGCAGCAGCACGTCCTGCAGAGCCTGACACCTGCGCTGAAAGAGGATCTTGCGCACATTTCTTTGCCACCTGGCATAAAACAAGAACCGATGAATGTAGAAGATAAGCGACAGATTGATGAAGAGAACGTTGGCTGCAGCTGAACCACCTCTAGGTCTGACCTGGTGAAAGCCTTCCGCAGTCTGAAGTCCCTGAAAAAGGGAATTTCCTGCAACGCGTTCCACGCCACCGCCTCTCTGTGCCACTGAGCCAGACTGACGAGTCCACCGGGACCCACCTGGGTCACATGTAGAACCGTGGAGGGAGAGAACACGTAGTGCTCAGAACCGGCCTCACTGGAGTCCACCACCAGCAGGTCGTAGGGTCTGAAGGTAGAGAGGAGGCATCCCATCATTCATGGTGTCATTGAGTCTGACATAACGGGGGGAGATGATCTCAGCACAGTTCACCTGGAGGAGTCGGCCTCCACTTCTTTCAGGTAATGAAGCTCAAAGTGTCCCGGGTCTCTGTGAGACAGGATGTGAACCAACTCCACGCCGGTGAGAGGAGGTCTACTCGTTCTCCTGGTTCCCTCACGTGTCACTCTCACTGACTCATCGTCCTCTGTGAGGCTGAAACAACAAGAAGGTCTGGAGGAGATCGTTAGGGGAGGAGATGTAGGCGATAAGGCCATAATATATATATATATATGTGTATATTTAAATACATTATATAAATAGGTTGTCATCTGTGGTTTAAACATTGTCCATATTTAATAATGAATTGATAATAACTATAGAGTATACAGCAGACTAGCTGATACAATAATGAGGTTTAGTACCTCTGTGCTGTCGACTCATGGGTGGTCCCGATGGGGACGTCGGCCCCTAAAGCTGAGGCCCTGAGTCGAGGTCCTTCACTCCATTCTGTGGATCTCCCGGGTCTACCGGGTCTACCGGGTCCCACTGGCGCCACCAGACGAGGGAGCTCCACCACTGGTCCTGAAGAGGAGGAGGAGGAGGAGGAGGAGGAGGAGGAGGACACGTTCCTGAAGAGAGGACCGAACAGAGAGCCGCTCACAGAGTGACACCCGTCCGACCACAGAGGCGGTAGAGTCACCCTCACAGGAGAGGACCGGGTCTTTATCTGGACCTTGGATCCAGACCTGAGGAGGTCTTCTTTGCAGGTCTGAGACGCTCCAGCGTGGGACGTTTTATCTGAAGTAACAGCGGCCATGCCGCTGATCTCTCTCTCTATATACAGTATATATACATATCTATATATACATATATATGAATACCATCAGCAGGTTTAGGCACAAAGCTCTGTCCCTTGTTCTACATCAGGACTTCACTCTGGACCTTCTGGGAGAGAAAGAGACATAAGTTAACTTTAAGGAGCGTGAATCATCCTCACCGTACAAACCAACCACACACTAAGATGTACATTAATATCACACACTAAGATGTACATTAA